AAGGTTAGGGTCTTTAATTTTAATGTATGTTTAGTGATGATAATCGGTGATAAATACTAGAACAATATCACAGTTAAGTATTAGAAATGTTATGTTAGTGTGACATTTCTGTGAGAAATGACTGAATGTTTGTGCTGCTGTATTGTTGTGTTTTCCTCCATAATGTGACTGTTGCTTTATAATCAGGTCACTGTCTATAGTTCACATTAATGTGAATGTTATTTATGTGATTATCATATATCATTGTAATTGTGGCATGGGATTGCTGTTACATTGTCATTAAGGGGGAACTATTGTAAATAAAAGTTACTGTTAAATTAAAGTCCAGTGTGAAGAATAGCAGCCAGCTTCACGTGAGATTTAAACTGTACTAAACTGTACTATGATATATAATATTAGAGCTGCATGATGAGGTAACAAAAAATCATATTTATATATTTTTGATTTTTGCATCATCATTTTCATTTTTACTGAAAGAAACTATTAAAATTAGAGTTGATGTGACATTTATTGGGTTAGATTTGTAACTGCAGCTCAACTGTACTTGGATTTGGATATTGTACTTATTACTTGTGTGCAGCTCTATATAATACATGCAGTAAAACTATTTTAGAGGGAGTATTGCAGAGTCAGATTTTATAATTAGATTTAATTGCCTGATACTGACCAATATACAGAATTTAAATGTTCTTATTTATATTATTTCAAGCATTTATTTGCCTCGTAGAGTTGGCAGTGTGGATAAATGATTCTGTTAGGTCGATATTTTATATATTTTATATTTATAATACCGTCATGACACCAAAAAATCAGTTGAGTAACTGTCAATTTAACCAGATAGGAACCTCAGTTTCTGGATAATGCAGCATAATTAAACAGCTGACTAACTTCCTCCTCATTGCTCATGTGTTGCTGTTGCTGCCTGCAGGTCTCCCACGTAAACCCTTCAGGCTGAGAGGAGATGTTCGGCAGTTTCTTTGTGAGGATGGACAGTTAGTTAGCCCCGTCAGTACTCCAATGGAAGCTCCAGTCACAGCTGCCCCTCCTCCCAACTCCTCCACTCTGCCTCCCCCGTTCCCCTTGCAGCCGGCCATCGCCCCCTCGGTCCAGCTTGGCTTCACTATCCTCTACACCACTCTGTACGCCGGACTGTTCCTGGTGGTGTACGTCCAGCTCTGGCTTCTCTACCTCTACAGACATAAAAGATGGAGCTACCAGAGTGTGTTTCTGTTCCTCTGCCTGCTCTGGGCGGCCCTCCGCACCACCCTGTTCTCCTTTTACTTCCGTAACGCTCTGGAGGCTAACCACCTACCTGTGGCAGTCTACTGGCTGCTCTACTGCTTCCCTGTCTGTCTGCAGTTCTTCACTCTCAGCCTTATTAACCTGTATTTTACTCAGGTAAGACTGAGGGTATTCTCTTTAATGCACCAGCTGTAATGTGGAGGGAAATACTGATGGAAATGTACAAAAAGATTGTAAAAAGAATTATTCTGATGCAGCCACAGTGATTTCATGTCATAAATAACTGAAAACAAATCAAAGTTTTTAGAATTTCAGGGTCATAATCTTCACATAATCTTTAATCTGGGAAATTCCTTTCAATAACTTTGTGCCAAACGGATATTAACTGAAACCTTGTGGAGTTAGTAAAATGCATTAGAGCGACCAGAAACAGGATGTTTATTCAACGTTTCTTTTGGTTTCAGTTTCATGCTTAATGTCTGATTTTTATTTCTCTCTTGTACCACAGGTGTTACTCAAAGTGAGAGAGCTTTACAGCTCAGAGGTGGACAGAGGACTGTAAGTTTCACTCTACAGTACAGACTACAAATTTAGAATAATATTGTATCACAGTTTCTCTCTGAATGATTAATTAAGCCTCAGAATCAACATATAACCACTAATCCATTCGTTACTCTGGCGTCCATGTCTTCCTCAGCTGGCTGGCACGATGCATGTATGGTGCACTGAGCGCCATCTTCCTCTGCGTCAATGTGGTCTGTGCGGCTCTCGAGGACAGAGGTGCTGCCGATAGGTCAGGGGAGTGGACCTGGAATCTGGTCCTGGTTCGAGTTCTAGTCAACGACTTGCTCTTCATCCTGGATGCGGTGTTACTGGCCGCCTCGCTGCTGCTCCTGACGAGACACTCGCGCTCCACCAGCCCCTACCTGATCAGCACGGTGAGCACTGAAGTGACAAATATGTAAAATGTGAAAATAAATAGAATTTTTTGGGGTTTTTATGTTATGAAATTGTGGGAAAAATTGACAAATGCAGAGATTTTTTTTGTATAATTCATTAAAAAACTGTTCTGGTGAGAATAAAATCACTAGTAGTTTAGTGAGGAATATTATAGGAATTATAGTTCCCAGCATTTTTAACCCATAAAATGGACTTAAAGTCAGGATATATATTTTGACCATTCTTTTATTAACGCAACCCTCATTTCTCCAACTTTATGAAATGTAGTACAAATCGCTGGAGTACCCCTGTAAACACTTCTTACCCTCCTGTGTAATTCTGAGGCTAACGGTGCCTTTTATACCCGACCAGGGGACCACAGTGTGCCGTACAGCCGCTCTGGGAGCAGCAGTGATCTTGTTGTATGCCAGTCGAGCCTGCTACAACCTCACAGTCCTCATTCTGTCTCAGAGCCACCGGGTGGAGTCATTCAACTTTGACTGGTACAACGTCTCTGACCAGGTAATCCCCCCACATCTGAGTGTAACACACTGTTAAAGATGGTAGTAATGGTTGCTAGTGTTTTATAAGATTGAAAGCAAGAGCCTGTAAAAATGCCAGTACACTACTAGATAACCCTGTGTGGGTGTTTTTTGTTTGTAGGCTGACTTGCGTGTTGAACTGGGCGACCGGGGCTACCTGGTCTTTGGCGCCATCCTCCTCATATGGGAGCTGCTCCCGACCAGTTTACTCCTCCTCATCTTCAGAGTTCGCCGGCCTACTCAAGAGGTAGATAGAACATCTGACACAAACTGCACTGAATGTGTATCGCTGAGTGGAAGTCCTTCCAACGTGTGTTTTCTCTGACTCTACAGAGCAGCAGCATGGCCATCAACAACAGGATCCTACCTCGTCCATATTTCTTTGATGACCCTCAAGGCAGCGATGAGGATGCACCTGTTCCGTGGGAACGCAGTTCGCATCCACATGCAAGGTACTGTCATTAAAACCACGTTAGACTCACAGGTAGAGCTGGAATTATTAGTTCAACAAGAAAAAATGCAAACACTTCCCAGTTCCAGCTTCTCTCATGTGATCATTTACAGCTTCTCTTTATTTTATACAGGTCTGCAAATATTGTTTGAGCAATAAAATGTCCAAATAGGGCCATCACAGCTTCGTAGAGCTGAAGCTGAAATGTTTAAGTGACTTGTTTTGCTCGACCAGCAGTGTGAAGAAACAAAACAAACCCTCAAAAGTATTCACTGTATTGTGATAGAAACCTAAAACCCCTTTTACACTAGACAGTGACACTCACCAACATCTGACCTATGTCTTTAGTGGGAAAAGTGGGTTCAATCTGCACGTGTTTGGTGTAAAAAAGGATAGAAATAAAGCAGCAAATAGTCTCATTTGAAAATCTGGAACCAGAGAATCGTTGGTGTTTTAACAAATGTCTGAAACAATTAAGTGATAATCAAAATTGTTGCATCTAATTTCCCTGTTGGCTGACTAATCGATTAATTGTCTCAGCTCCAATTTTATATACTTGGTTTTGGACTGTTTGGTCGATTAAACAAGACATTTAAAGGCTCAGTGAAACTGTGATAAGCATCTTTCACCATTTTCTAACATTTTATGGACTAAAATAAATTCATCCCATATGAGAATCCTAAACACTGCACAGCAGACACAGCTGTCATCTGTTGCTCCTCTTCTCGCTCTGTTTCAGCTGGTACGGATCAGAGACCGCGCCGCTCCTGTTTGCCAGCAATCCTCCAGACCAGAACCACCAGCACCACACCTTCTACTCCACTCCCCAGAACTGACCCCGACTCCTCGCCGCTATCAGGGTCGTCGTGTCCTGGATGACATTTATCTCGAGGACGAGCGACACACAGCTACCACTCAGTAGCAACCCCCCCTCCTTCCCTCCCCTGCAGTGTTTTTGCACTGAAAACCTCAGGAAACCACCACTGAACAGTGAATATGCACCTTGTAGTTTTTGAACAGAGAATATATATTTAAATCGTAGCTCAAAGGGAACACACTTTGGTGGGAACAACCAAACATTGTGCTCAGTGATCTCCTTGTGAAGGTTAAGCTGAGATTGTGTCAGTTTGTTAGCTTGTTTTAAATAAGTCCATGTCCCATTGTTGAATTAAAAAAAACCAACTAGCTCTTACAAAGTCCTAAAAATGGCACATTTAGCTTTGTTAGCATTCCTTAATTAAATGAACCCACGTTATGTAATGTAGCTCAAAAGCTCACAGCTGTTTTGTGAAGGTAACTTTTCTCTTACACTGTTTAAAGTGTATAAGAAATTGACTAAAATACAAAATATCAACTCTTTTTTGGCATTTTTTTAAAGACCAGTCATTTCTTTTGACAGCTTTAATAAATATTTCCACATCCACAAGTTCTGTTTTTTTTAAATCTCAGACTTAAACATCTCTGCAGGTATTCACATCGCTCAACTGTTATTTTTTGTTTAATAAGTTACCTTTCAGGCCAATGTCTGCTGTTCATTTTGTTTCTCACATTTTAGTTTCATAAATTTACATTTTTAGTGTTGATTTTTATTCCCTTCCTGTGTAATTTTATTTTGATTTAAGCTTAACTTATTTGAAACCAATTAAGAAAAATCAAATGTTATTCTCCTTCATGTCTTTACTGGAATGAGGCTTCCTCTTAGCGAGTCACTCAACTGTGGCGTTGACTTTACCTCGTAACTATTTACTATGTAAACAACAAACTAATAAAAACATCAAAACAAGCTTGTCTGGCCTGTTGCTAAGCAGAAACCACGTGAGCGGTGAAAAGCTGCAAACTATGTGGAATAAAGTTGTTTCTCAAGGTATGTCATAATGTTTTACACTTTTAAATGTTTTATCTGTGGTGAACATCATGTCTACTTTTATTTTTGTTTTTTACGTTACTGTTTAATAAAACAAATAGTCTATTGCATTACACTTTATTTTACTGGTCTGTGATTTCTGCATTTGGGAAGTTTCCCAGAAAGAACAATGTCATTTGGTACTAATTATCATTTGTTTGGTACACACAGGTCAGATTAACATATGGATAATTTTGAGAAATGTGTAAAAAAAAAAACTCAACATATACGAAGACTTAAGTTTCCAATAATAAATGAAATTCCTCTTTCCTTATAATTAGTACCAAAACACATACTTCTATCAGGAAACTTCCTGGGAAATTACAGACCTGCAAGATAAAGAATTACTGCATTACTTCAAAACAAAAAACAACAAAAGCAGACATTAACTGGGTTTCATGTCTTTTACAGAATAGCTCACATTGCCTCATTTGAATGATGTTTAGAAGCCTAATGAGGTAAAAAAAAAAAAAAACACATTTCACAAGGAAACAATAGGGGAAAGTAAAAGATAATTTTGTAACAGAGATAACTTTTACTTTAATCATCTTGTGACCACTCAGATTCATGATGGGAGCCTTTGGGGTGGGGAGGGGTCCCGACCCTGAGACCATCCGTATGTGAACATACAAACCAACATACGTGTTGCGTCGCTGCCATTTCAGTCCAACAGTTTATTCTGCATTATGTACAGATCATCCTATTAAAACTCTTTATACAGTATGTACACATTCAAATAAATCAGTATGTCACAACGTCTGCAGTGGCAACAGAAAAGTGATGAATGTTAAAAGAAAAAGAGCCAAAGCCAGAGTAGTTAATCAACTTCCTTTGATTTGAATTCACTGGATCTGACACTGATCCAGCTGCTGTGTAACATGTTGATGTGGTGAATGGAACCACCTTTTTGTTGAAGAAAGCTGAATTAAACAAAATTTAAGTGCCTCACCGACAGTAAAACTACCAAACACCATCTCTCTCACACTGACCAAATAACTGGGTTCCACGTTCCTCTTCCATCTGATTAAACTTACAAACATCTGCAGCACTCTTATTGCAGTAGTCATTCTGGGGGAAAGGTGGTGAGAACAAAAAAAAAAAAAGAAGTCGTGCTATTGCTTTCTGACACAGAACAGTCCAGATAAGCGGCAAAAATCATTGCGTCTCCCAGCAGTCTGAATCCAACTCGACACAGTGAGCCTGTGGAAGGCGAGAGCCACGAGGAAGAGAGGCAATGAGGAACCAAAGCAACGATCAATCAGCTCAGAGTTCCTGTTGGTCCAGAGCAACGTGTCCGAGTCAGAGCGCATGGATCAGTTGTCCGGAGGGGGGGAAGATGACGATGCTGTTGCAGTCTCTAGTTTACGAAGGCGGCGGCGTCTCAGCTCAGCAGCATTTGGCTCTCCGTTCTCGTCCCCCACCTCCACTCCTTCATCCATCGCTTCTTGCCTTTCTGTGTCCGAGGCAGCGGAAGTGGAGTCCGCTGGCTGAGAGGAGACTGTAGCTCCGTCCGCCTGCTCAGCTGGAAACGGAAATAAAATACTGACTCAGGGTCCAAGCTTTTTGATTGAATTGTCTCTTGAGTTGACCTGTCAGTTTACTTACAGCTGGAAGAGTCCTTCTCCTGGCTGGGACTGTCTGTGCTACTGCCGGCTGCAGTGGATGAAGCAGTGTTGTTTGTCCCACTGGCTTCTCCAGTGCTGCTCCCAGTCCGAGGAGGTCTGTGGAGACAATGATGGACAATTCAACTGAAAATAGCTTTTTGGAAACACATGTGGTCAGCTCTGAGGTTTCCTGTTACAATTGTGCCACTTGATCTTAAATTATTGAAAAGGTTTTATACATATTTCAATAATTTAAGCTTAATTTGGGAAGAGTTGGAGAACATTAAGCTAAAGAAGGCTCAGTTACGTGAGTGTGGCGACGGTGCTGAGGTAGTGGTGGATGTTGAGCATGGCGGCGTCCAGCAGGGTGTGGATGTTCTGGAGACACTGGAGCCTGGCCTCGAGGCCGCGTCGGCCTTCTGCCTCCAGCTCCCTCAGCTCCTCCTCCGACAGCCGGGACAGAGACGGAGGAGGAGGAGGCATTGATGACACTGTAGGAGAGGAGAGAAAGGGAGGAGTGAAAACACTACAGACCACCGATTGGTCAGAGAATCGTCACTTAAAATGCAGAGCAACCAGAGTTGTCTCGTTACACTCTGATGCTGGATTTCCCAAACTCTTCTGTTTTTTTTCAGCAGTCTTTTGTCTTAATGCATTCAGCCTTCTCAGAAACAATGTCCTTGTACTTATTTTCTGCAACAGTCAAGTCAGCAAGTGTATATTCATTTAGGTCTGCAAGACAACGCAAGAGTGTTTGTGCTTACCGAAGGGAGGAGGAGGTGGCATGGGCAGCCATGGTGCAGTGGGGAAAGGAGGAGGGGGGAAGGAGAAGGGAAAGCCTGGGATTGCTGCTCCTGCAGCAGCAGCAGCTGCAGCGGTGTCTGCAGTCGATGAGGTGGGCTGGCTGGTACCTGATGAAACAAACAAAGAGAAAATAAAACAACACTCCAGGTGCACCGATATCATCTCTGACACTGACACATTGAATTAACAAACTGTGTCAGATTGTTTGGGTTTGATTTCCTTTTTTGTGCTGTGGAAAATTGTGGTGGCTAATTTGTTGCAGGAGAGCACGAGGTATCCTCACCAGCTGCCTGCGTAGCCTCTGTGCTGCCTTGGGGAGCATCGGGAGCACCGGGAGCTGCAGCTGCAGCAGCAGGAGGAGGCACTGCAGGGAAGGGACCCCAGAAGGGGAAGATGCCAGGAGGGAAGCCAGGTAACATTCCTGGTGCGACTGCAGAGGAAACAGAACCAAAGAGATCCTTACAGACACTGGAAAAGGGTCCAACTATGCATTTACAAGAGGAAATGAATATTCTCTGGGGATGGAACGTGTCGTGCCCGCAGTCCGACCATTTAATACATCTGCTGAGAGGATACTTGTATTTTCCTAGGTAATACAGGTGAATAGCTCTGCATTGCATTAAGAAAAGAATTGCATGCATCCATGCTGTTCCTTAATATTTTTTGTTTTATTTCTTTCACAAAATTTCATAATAAGAAGGTTAAAATAAATATAAAACCCTCTGTAATCTTTTTTGGCCTTTGTCACTGTCTCAAAGGAATTTCTCTCTCCCTTCAAAGGTGTCCTGCATTGTTTGTTGCTTCAGGGAAGGTTTCTTTAGTGTTGATAACATTAATAAATTACTCTGACAGGCTTTTTTTTGCACTTTCATTGGCGCGGCGAGTGTGCAGCTCTCCACCGCTGTCAGCAGAGTAGAGAAGAAACACACAGTGGAAAGTTGACAACAGCTGCACCGTGCATGAAAGCTTCGAGAGTAAGAACACCTGTGTGACAGCTGACGTAAAACAAAGGGTCGGATCGGGCTCAACGTAGCTGATAATCAGTCAAAACATGCTTTGATCCGCCCCAATAGCAATCTTTGAGATCCCTTATAGTGCTCAACATGATCAGCAAGACTATTAATTAAGCTGGAAAAACTGTATTTAACTTTAAGTGGCTTTAAGTTTCTCCAAACTTAAAGCCACAATGAGTGAAAATGGGCGCTAGAAGACTGCACCAGGATTGTTTAATGTTTCTACAAACGAAAACTGTAGTTATCTATAGTTACTAAAGTTGTGCACATAGAGGCTTTGAGTTCATGAATGGTGAAACAGTCCTGATAGCAGCAGGTATAAAGGTACATACTGTCTGTCAAACAGGTAAATGTACCCAGGTGAAGCATTACTCTCAGGTATTGGAATGCGCAGTGTTGCATAAGTTGTTTCAAACAGCATTTTTCCTTCCTCACTGGCGGTTTTGTCGCTGAGGGCACCCACATGACATGCGTTCTGGACTGCACATAATTTGGGTGTGCGTAGGCTGGAAGCAGGAAGACAGCGGTTGTGTTTGTACTGGTTTTGACTCTCACCATTGGCAGGTGGGGCTGCGGGGGCGTTGGCGGGGGCTGCAGGAGCAGGTGGCGGGGGCTGGGCCGGAGCTGGAGTCTGATTGTTGTTAGAGGCCCGGAGGACGTCCATGCGACAGGTAGGACAGGTCTGCTGCCTCTGGAACCAGGAGCGCAGGCAGCTGTGGGGAGGAGAGGAAGGTAAAGCAAGATCATTTGATGTATACAACAAACAAACAACAAATATTAAACACAACGCAGTAACAACGGTTCTTGTTGATGTCGTGTTTAATTTGCCACACTGACTCGTTCGCTGTTTAAATACAGGAACTGTGTAACGTCAGTAAACATCTACTGTACATTGTTCTGTTTGTTTGCAGTCTAGAATCTTCCCTGCGAGACTTACCTGGAGTGGAAAATGTGATTACAAGGCAGCTTCTTGGCTCCAGTGACCATTTCCTCTCGACAGATAATACAGACGTTGTCAGAGGCCTGCAGGTCTTCAGGAGTAGCGTCAGGGTATCTGAACAAAGGCAGAAATGAGAAGAGAAATGAACGGGAGTTCTAGCCAGAGAACGTATTAGTTGCGTTTTTATTCAGCTTGTACTGTGTGTCTGTGCGCATTGTCTGCTTGCAAATAACCCACAGCTAAAGATTATTAGATCAGATGAAAGATGAGCTTAGAGACAGAAGAAAAACAAACTATCCAAAATTGTACATACGGCTCAACACCTAAAATATTCTGTAAATATTCTTAAACATTATATACGTTTGCTACAACCTGATTAAGAGCTTGTCAAAGTTAATGTGCAGTGTGTTTTATCTTCAAATGGAGAATGGGTATTCATTCGTATAAGGGCCATAGTCCATGTCATTAAATGAGAATTAAATTTGACCATGTTTGTTTAACTGAATGATATGTAAATTAA